GGGAGCAACGAATCCAGGATGAAAGCGTTTCATCCATCCATCGATTGCTCCTTCCACTAAGAGTGCCACATCATGTTTTCACTGAAGTGTTTGCCTGAAATCTCAAGTGCTGTAGAAACAGCCAATTGCAGAGTCCTCCTTGCAACCTGACTCTCCATAAACCACAATGAACTGCACATTAGTGCCAGTCTGTGGGATCCGCATTCCAGTCAAGCAGCGGGGAGGCTGTGTCTACCAATGAAATTGTTCTGGCTCACTTACAGCCGTTATATTTACCGCATATTGATTGATTTTTCCACGTATAGCTGCTTATGCATACGGACAAGAGGTCCTAAAGCCTCAGCCTGCCTCGAAAAATCACCAGCTGAGAAGCCTCATTTCCTCCACTTGTCGGCTGAGATTGTGTACTGTATGTGATCGTAAACACTTTGTCCTTACGTAGAGAAAAGCTCCAACGTGTGATGTCACTTGGCAGCCTCGTGCTGCTTCATCAGCAGGGAGAAACATGTTGATGTTGTTGGCAGGGAGCATATTTTTAGATATTCTCCCCCCCGTAACTCACACAGAGTTGAATTCTATGAGGCGCTTTACCTCGACTGTAGAAAAATGCTTCTTTTTTTTTTTTACTCCCAAAATGTCATCCGAAGCCTCCAAACACAACAAATCGACGGTGCACTATTTCAGTCTGGTTAAATTTGTTTTGTTGGTTATTCTGGAGCATTTAAACGAGGCGTTAGTTGTGAAATTCACTCAAAGCGATTGATCTGTACGTGCTCAGTCAGCAGTGTGTATTCACCACATTTAGATTTTATGATTAGGTTTTGCTACATAGCTAACTAACCAGCGACAAAATCACCAATTGACATGAAATTATCACTCGCCACAAACATTAGCTGCTACTTGACGCACTTGCCATGCAAATCGAATGTCTTTCATGAGACCGTAATGCTTATTTTACATATTAGCCAAGCTAATAAACATCCCACCTATTTCCTAGCTGCTGAGTGCGTTATGTCCTCTGAAAGCCCCGACGTTTCCTCTGCACCGAATTAAGCTTCTGCACAGATAACAGATAATGTACAATTCCCAAAATATAAACGGGGTGAAGCGAGGGTTCTTCCAGTTCTACATCATTAATATGCTAGATTGCAGTCGGGCCTGTGAATAATTTGAGGAAATATGTTACATTCCATTTCTTGCGCTGCTTCCAGAGCCTTTATGAGCTTTTGTGAAGATGCTATTTTTGTTCGTTAAATGAGGATCAGACATCCGTTTGGCTCGGGGAAGACACATCGTTTCAGAAAAGATTCTCTTGACTTCTAAATCAAACACTGAAGAGGATCAGCAGTCGGGTCTTATCATATTTTAAAGGCACCGTTTGTTTACTTCTGTCTCCAAACTGATGAAGACAGACGAGATGGTTATCTGTGCGATGGTCATCTCTCGAGCCTTCCAAGGAGCTTTGTCTGTTTCGTCTCTATTTTCCTGAAGAGTCGGAGGAAGTCGTAGCCGGAGGGCATGTTTTGTCGGCATGTTGCAGGTCGCTTAGTCAATCTGGCTTTTCCTCTGGAATAAACTTCTGGTTGTGGATCACGTCTTAATTCTAATTGAAGCCGCTCTCGTTTGATGCGTTTCCTACATTATGTATGATGTGGACAGCGCGAAACAGAACCGTAATTAAAAGGTTTAAGAGGAGAAAATACAAGTTTTACTGAAGATAATTGATTAAGTGCTTCATTATTTTAACATGTGGCAGCGTAATATTCTAAAAATACAAGTGGAGACAGACCTTCTGTCACATATTTAGAGACTCTCCGAGGCCGACACATATTGTGCTTAGTGCGTAATCAATCACAACATTTAGACGATTTGTAATTAAGAATCGGATAATAATTCTGAGCGATGAACTTGACGGCTTTATGCGAAGACAATAACTATCAACAATTCATCTGCCGCCGCTGTGAAGAGCATCAGATTAGCGTCGGGTTTATGAACAAGTGCTGTTAATCACCAGATGTTATTAGACGAGAATCAGCACCGGGAGGATCCGATTCATTACCTGAAGCGAAGGCATCGAGTGTCGTCGCTCAGGTTTGCACAGGAAGTGACGGTGGCTGTCTTTAGATTTCCAGCTGACCACATGTTTGCTTTTTTGGGGCACATGAAGTTAAATCTGTCGCCGTCTGCAGAGATAAACGGAGGTTCAAACCGTCTCCGCTGAACCTGAAAATTCCCGAGATGTCTGGCGTTCCTTATCTGTGGTGACGTACCGGTAGCCTCATTTACCGCTGGGTGTTATGGGTACTTTGCTAATTGTGTTAATGGGGAGATAAAATTCCAAAAGGCTCAGTGAACGCTTTTGCACTAAAGCAAATAATAACCCATTAAAGAGGTAAAAAAGAACAGCTGATGACAGATAGAAAAAGGCTCGACGGAGGAGCGAAAATAAAAAAAATGAAAACGTCAGACAGGAGAGAGGTGCTCCACAAATGAATATTGAAGAGTGAATTCATATTCCTGCGCTGAATTCCTGAGGTGTGCCAGCACGTACAAAGGAATCAATGGTAATTTTCCAGAGAGAACACAAACAGCCCAGTCCGGGAATATAAATATATTGTATTTCTGATCTAATACTCCATCCCACAGTTGTTATTTGAATACATGTGAGTGTGCGCGGCGCTGGAGATGAAACACTCGCTCAGCAGCGAGGCCCAGTTAAAAAAAAAAAAGGGGGCCGGCCTTTGGGATGGCATCTGCAGGCTTCCCAGCCAAGTGTTGCTAAATTGAAAACCTCCTCTCGAACATATCCACGCCGACTGGGTCCGTTGCTCTGTCAGCTTTTAACCAGGCGAAGGAAATTACAGCCGTGACCTCACGCCGTTTGCCAGGGAGAGACAGTGAGAAGTAATTTTGCTTACACAGAGTAAGGTAGGAGGAGGGAGGACGAGGTGGAGGAGGAGGAGGAGGCTGCAGATGTGCATAAGCGCTGCGGTTCCCTCTAGTTTAGAGCTGGGAGTCAGGCAATAAATTAACATTCAACACATAGAGGAGTTCAGCTGGGGCATGAAAGGGCTTCAAGAGCGAGGGAGCGCCTGTTAAAGCAGGACTGGGAGCTCCTATCAGCGGCACTGCACGGCCAGCCGCTTTCCATGGAAGCTTGTTTCCACACAAGCGACAACGCACGGCAGAGGAAGAGTAACTGTACAATCTCCTCATATCTCCAACCTACTACCGCACAGCCTGTTACAGAACATTCCTGTATGTTTTTTTGTAAATTTATTTTTCTCTAATTAAAGAGCCGGAGCGTACGGACCAGTGGGCAGAAAGGATGGGAAAGTTACGTGGCTTTAAAAATAAGCTATTACATCTTGACAGCAGCTAGCAGCTCCTGAAGTTAATAAATGAACGCAATTCACTTCCTGGAGCGATGTTGCGGTTTATTCCCCCATTAGGAGGCAGTGGTCCACCCATTCCAATCATTCCTTAATTAGAACTGTTGTTATTTGGGCTGTCACAGGAGGTAATACCTCATGACAGCATCGGCATCAGCTTGGCATCCTGCAATCACGCATTCGCTGACGGGGGGGGGAGCCTCCTCGTCGTCGCTTCATCTGCCTCGCCGGACCCAGCAGCGCGCCAGACGCCTCCAGCTGATGCAGCGAGCTGAGATCGCCGTGCCGACTCGGAGCGTCGTCCGTTTAAGCGTGGAAACATGCTAAGTGTTTTTTTTTTTTTTTTTATATTATCGAAGCCCGCTGATTACTTTCCCAGACCGCCTTAACGTGCCGTTGAGTCACAAAATGTTTACGCAGGAATGGAAGAGGCTATAAAGTGAAGCAGAATGGCTCAGCAGGCGTTTATTGAGCCGTGCAGCGACATCCACTCATTACTCTATTTGGTCCTTAGTGTGAGATAAGAAATGTAAACAACACAAACGAACCGCTATGATAAAATAACATCTGCTGTTGTGATGTTTCGTCTCAGCTCAGGTGGGGCTTTTTTTTGTTGTTGTTGTTGTTGTTGTTGCTCTGCAGGTGCACGATAGTTAAGTTCATAATGGGCTCGGTTTCATCCCATGCGTTGACGATCCATCACCATCATTCCACCATCATCGGGTCTGAGAGGTGCCAAATAAGCATCGGTATGAATGTGGGTGAAGTGGGACCTCTCCAGAGGGTAAACTACTGTGGAAAAAAAAAAAGAAAAGAGGAGGATGACATCAGGAACCTCCGGCTCCCAGAGGAGAGGAGCTCTGGAAACATTGAACTTTAACGAGATTACCAACTCGGGGAGGGGTAGGAGAAGGAGACGAAACAGCATGTACCGCTCGGAGCTGGCAGCATGAAATACAGATTTATGAACTCCATTAAACCACATTTCGTTCTCTTTATTGGGCCTGCAGCATTTACCCAATGTGGAAAAAGTTGAGGAGGAAAAAAAAAAAAAAAAAAAATGTCCTCCAGATAAATTACTAACAGCCTGGGCATTTGCTTCCACATAAGGTAGCTGTACAACTCATGAATAGAGACATAAAAGCAACTAGTTACCTTGACTGTTTCACTGTGCTTGGTCGACTGGCGGTTTGTGCAAGCCAAGGTAGAGGAGGCAGTCAGTGTGGTCTTTGGAACAGGTGGCCTTCTCAGACTGGCATTTGTGGTGTGGAGCTGGCATGGGTTAGTAGCCAGACTCTCAATCTGTCCACTTGAAAACTCCCCAGTATTGCTGGAAAGTATTATGGCCCCTGTGGAGGAGATAGCAATTACAATTTCTGATGGGAGAGAGCGAGAGCGCCAGGAGCCACATCCATTCTTGGAATATGATCAGACTTATGCCTGGAACATTTTTACAAAACACCACTACACAAACGTCCTCTTAATACCATCAGTGTGATGCCTCATAGTTTCGGGGGCCTTTTTTTTTTTTTTTAGTGTCTTCCTGTCAGATTGCCAGGGGTGACTTTACATTTAAAGACATCATTAAGCTGTGAATTGTCTTCCCGTATGCCAGTGTTTGATGATCCACGCCGGGGCCTCAGCAGGTACATGGCAGTGATCCACCTCACAAAAAAACCTGCCCCCATTTAAATCCCGCACTGCTGCATTCTGTGACAAATTGGATTTGGAGCGGGCAAAGCCTGCTCCAGCTGGAAAACGCTCACCTTTTGACCTCCTACCTGAACCCTTCCTGCTCCGGTATGTGTGACTAACATGTTCTATGGGAGGCGGGTAACTCGAGAGCCCACATGTTTTGGCTATTGAGTACAGCTGGTGTTTTGCGATTACACTGTTTTCACACATTTGGGCATTTTCAGACGGCGAATCGCTGTGTCGCTGCGTGCAGTTCGCATTTACCCCAAAGAAGGGGGCCACGAGCGGCAGCAGCAGCAGCAGCGAGAAGGTAATCAATTTTCAGGCCACAGATTCAGCTCATCAGTGGCTGTTGCTCCATAAAAACGTTGCCAGATCTCCTCTAAGTAGTAACCGCCCTCCTGTTGGAAGCATTAGAATCTGTAGCTCTGCCTGAGTAATGAATATGTGATCATCACACGCAAAGCACTTCTTCACTGTGTCCCCGCATCCCCCCAAATCCAATGACACCTCTGGCCAAGCTGCTGGGTATAGGAAGCCTCTCCTCTCAGCCCTCTGACGCCTTTTCTTGATGGATCTTCGAGGAAATTTGATTCTCTGTCAGCCGTGTAAGCGCGACGTCACAAAGCCCGTCGAAGCCGGCACGTAGTCAAGGATCAGAGGGAAGAAACAACAACAGCAACGAGTACGTCTGGTGCAGCTCAATGGACTCTGGGGACTAAGAGATGTTGACGGGGATGAAGGTCGCCGCCACCTCAGAGGGAGCGGGCGGCCGCAACGAGCACAAGGTCACGTCTGTCGCTTCGCTTGTGCCGCGGCGGCAGAATGACGGCGCGGAGCGAGCTTCTTGCATGGACGGGTGCTTCACACTTATTGAAAATCAATAACAATCTTTCAGTGGCAGCCGCAGACATATTTGAACAACAGGCTTTACTCAATAGAGTCTGGTTGGATTTTTATGCGGGTTTTCCACTTGTGAGAAATCAAAGGAGGTCAAAGGGTTGTTTATACTTCACAGGTGTTCTGTGGTCTGTAGATAAGAGGACGTATTTCTCATAAATACAGATTATTTACTGAAATCACAATTATATCTTTGATGCTAAACGTTAATGAAGTGAGCGACCAATTACGGACGGGATTCTGAACTTTTCTTTTCAGCCTATTTTTGCTTATTATTGTTTGGTTTTAACAGCCTGCACATTTACTGTACTGAATAATTCCGGTAATAAACCCGATGCAGATGCAAGTTTTCGGCAAGAAACCCTCTGATAAGTCTGTGCACGCTAACTGCCCAGTGGCAAACAGCGGGCAGTCAGAAGTCAGTCATTAATGCTGCCTGTGTGTCTGCCGAATGTGAAAGCGTGCGATTCTAAGCTGATGCATTAGTCAGAGCGACCGTACGAGGTGGAAACAACTGGTAGAGATGTGTTTCAGTCTGAATCCATTGATTTTGGTGTCACGTCCACGATGAGGGGTCATATTTTTTTGCATTTGTTATTTGCAGATTCTTCACTGTAATTAAAATCTGTGATGCTAACACAGTCGAACATTAATGAAGTCAGCAGACGGGATTCTGCCGCTCCACTGATCTTTTTTTATTTTTTATTTTAGCCTATTTTTGCTTATTATTTTGGTTTTAATGGCCTGCACATTTACTGTACTGAATAATTATCAAACCCTGTATTTGCAGCAAGAATCCCTCTGATAAGTCCGAGAGCACGCTAACTACCCAGCACCAAAACCGCGGGCAGTCCAAAAAAAATAAAAAATAAAATAAAAAATCTGGCAGCCGGAGCTAGTCATTAATGCTTCTGTGTCTTGCGAATGTTGGAAGTGTGCAATTTTAACACTGGTACATTACAGAGCTACTGTATTATGAGGTGAAAACATCAAGGCTGTGTCCTCTGGTGGAGTTTTTGTTTCTCTGCTGCTGCTACTAAATCGATGGCTTTCAGAGGCACGACTACAAAGACAGGATACTATGAACGTCCATCCATCATCTATACACTGCTTAATCCTCACTAGGGTCACGGGGGGGCTGGAGTCTATCCCAGCCGACTTAGGGGGAAGGCAGGAGACACCCTGGACAGGTCACCAGTCTATCACAGGGCTACACTTAGAGACAGACAACCAAGCACACTCACATTCACACCTACAGACAATTTAGGATCACCAATTAACTTCAACATGTTTTTGGACTGTGTGGGAGGAAGAACCCGGAGAGAACCCACGCTGCACGGGGAGAACATGCAAACTCCACGCAGGAAGATCCCAGTGCCCCCACCGTGACGCGAACCGGCGACCTTCTTGCTGTGAGGCAACAGTGCTAACCACTGCATCACCCTGCAACCCTACTATGAACGTGTTTAAACATTTACCTGACGCGTCGTATATGGCGCATATTCAAAACAAACCTTTAATAGCTGGTTTCGCCAACAGAAAGCGCATCTCCCGTGAAGCCGAGGACCTTTTCCCCGTAAAGCAGCTAAGCGATGCTGAATGACTGTTGGTACCAAAGCAGTGTTTTTCTTAATGTACAGTTGTGTTGCTTCTATGTTTCTCCTCCTCGCTGTGCGCTGAGGCGAGAGGTAGATTTTCCTTCTTTCCTGCCGAACAACATGGCGCGAATTTGTCTCCTTTGTTTGATGACAGTGCTGAAGGTGAAGATAATGCGGGTTTGTTGTTCTTTTTTTTTTTTCCCGGTGCTGGAACCAGCTCCGTTTGGAGGCTGTGAAGAAAGCAGGAAGCAGAGAAATGCTGCATACAGTAACTCGGTCCCGGCGCTTATTACTGTTGGCTGCGTGTTGTACAATGAGGACAAAGCTCTTCATGTAGTGCAGCCTCTTGTGTGCAGAGTGGGGATGTTTCCACCGAGCTACGTCACCGGCGTCACAGAACAGATCAGATGTTGCAGAACGGAGGCTGAGTGCAGTCAAAGGTTATGCACAAACATTTGTGAGCGACTGCTGTCTCGCTCGCTTCGGTTTTATTTTTTTTTGGCGTCCGGACACTTGAACTCTGTTGTATTCTACACTCACATTCTTCAGTAGTTCCTGCCCTTGACTGGGAATCAAAGACAAAACTCCCGACAAATCCGTTTGTTGTCGGTTGGTATGCGGAACTTTTTTTTTTTTTTTCGGTAATGGAACTGACCTCCTCAATAATTCCCGTCCTTGAAGGTGCAGCAATAGAGCGATCAGGCTGCCTTTATCTGCTACAGTTAGACTATCTTGTCTCGCGCTAATTGAATTCGAAGGTGCGTGAGGTGCAGAAGGGCTCGGCCTCTGGTTTTTCGCGATAAAATTATCCCGGCTCAGCGTTACTGTGGGAGTGGCGGGTTGCACGCTCGCTAAATCATTTTGTTTCACAGTCCACAACATCTGCCTGCCGCTTTGCAAATTCACCGGCACCGAAAAGCAAACGGTGCACATGTGCGGAGATGGCTGCCTGTAATGTACAATTCATGTAAGGAAAATTAAAGCTTGAATTTTTGATGACTCCCCCAGCGAGGCGAGATGCAGACGAAAGCCCTCCGCAACCAGATGGCTCACCCGACTACATGTGTTAGGAGGTGACAGTGTAAATCCTGTGTGCCGAGCGCCTAAGGCTCCACAACAGGGAAATTGCATTCTGATCCAGTCCACTCCTCTGTGTATTAGTGTTATACAACAGACTATTGTGTCTGGCATTTGCATTAGGGCCATGAAATTCAGCCCACTGGCTTTCACTGTGCAGCGCAATGAGACAACAGTAGGAGTTCCTGCTTATCTGCTCCCATGCTACAGCAAGATCACATTTGCACTTGGTCTTCAAAGCAGCTCCACGGTCATTTTCATTGAAATGCATGGCGAGGAAAGAGAAAAAAAAAAAAGGCTACAAGAGAGTCTGTTTACTTTCTTTTTAGTGTGTAGCTGTCGAGATGACTTTTAGGTACCAGAAGACAGAAAATTAGATCAGCCACAGCTACCGCGGCAGGACAATTTGATGGACTCGATATATAATCGCTGACTTTGAGGGAGCGAGCGGCGGGTACAAGGTGGGCTAACGTGCTCGCTATTGTGCGGCTTGTATGTGAACCGGTCCTCTGTGTATCCGTCATTATGGGCAGTGAATCAAGCGAGCGGGGGCTGTTGAGAAGAGGCCCCCTGGGATCGAGGCCTTGTCCTGTCACTACCGGGAGGGACGGACAGATAATAATGGAGACATCATGAGGGCAGGAGATAGGCTTTCCTTTTTCAAAGCGCCAGATAGTGAGAATTCGCAGTGACCCATCACAACAGGCTCGCAGCCATTGATTGGTCCCCGGCCTGTCTTAGAAAGGACAGCTTTAACTGCTCTTGTCGGAGAAAACAGATGCCAGTGCTGTTTGCTTTGAGAGGGAAAAAAAAAAGCTCCTTTATGCTTCTGAAAGGAGACGACTGTCCTATTTTGGTAATACCTGACATCAGCCAGGACACAATGGAGGAGGCTCATGCGGGACCTGCAGTAATTCAGGTTTTCATCTGCGTGACAACAGATGAATTACATTCTGATGCGTTCTGATCACGCACAGGATGAATTATTGTTTATCACATGTAAAAGCATGAAATCAACAGGGCCCCTTACGCAGAGCACTGACAATGATTTCCACACGTTTCCTTTAATATCTTTAGTTAAAACACTTATATGTTGGCATCAAAAGGTGTTTGTTTTTCCCAATATTCCTCCCAGTTTTCAGATGTTCCCTCTGGCGCCGGTCACAGATTTCGTCTGACAGTCCCTTCAAAAGCTCTCAGAGGCACTTCTGGAGACTGGCTCTCAAAGACGCTTCCAAAAAATTAGGTTGAGGAGACGATGATAGCACGGTGCAGCTCTTAAGAAACAGTTTTGCATCAGTATCTCGAGTTTTCCACGGCGTTTTGTAAAGTTAATAGCCTTGACTTTATCAACAGAGGTATTGAGCGCGGTGCAGAGAGTAACATCAACAATCTGCAGTGTTTACTGGCGCAGACCTTCACGTCTCCTTCATAAGTCAGTGCAGCTGACAGTTGTAGAATAACTTTTCCATGTTTCGCTCTCAACAGATTTAGGTAAATCGTTTCACTTTGGGAAACCACACACACACACACACACACACACACACATTCTTTCTCTGCAATGCTGGAATTTGCTTTTGCATTTGTTACCCCCTGCTGGCAAGGACTTTAAAATATAATAGCTCTTAGGAGTGCATTTGGGTTCGCTGTCATATCCAAGCCAATTTAGGCTTCTTTTTGAACAGTTGATGGAGTGCACATTAGAAATGCAGCAGCAGCTGCTGAGTGACCACAACAGTGTGGTATTCATGCAGCGCCAGGACAGGCAGGACAATGGCCTCATCCGGAAATAAGACTCCGAAAATAGTGTTTGGATGTGTTTTATGACGGAAAACGGAGCCTGCCAAATGTCGTGTCAAATGGTTTGTGAAGATTTTCCTGCGCACCAGTTGCATTTGTCTATTTTTCGGGGTCTGTTTGTTCTTTTCGGATGCATCGCCTGTTTCATTTCGAAACCAGTTGCTGGTCCAAAATTGTTGTGATTTACAGGAGAAAAAAAAAACAAGAAGTTCAGCTGCCGTGGCTGTGAAAAACCTCGTGATGCTTCAAGAGCACAACATGTGACATTAGTGAAGTCTCTTTGTTCTCACTGCTGCTGTAGCTTTGTTGTTTTTTTTTCTTCTTCTTTCTTTCAAGTTCATCCTAGCAGCATCAATTACTCAAAGAGCACCTACCCTGACACTGTTATTTCTCCTCTTGACTGCAGAGAAGCCGATGCCGCAGGGTCCCCCAGGTGGTGTTATCGGGATCCTTGGAGGTGTCGTGGCCATCGGACTCATCATTGGCGTGGCTGTTACTGTTTTCATGGTCCATCGGCGGCAGCAGAAGACCCGCACTGAGACAGATAATGACCTGTGAGTACCGAGCCTCTGCCAGAGAATATTGCAGGGGGCTGGACAGGTGGTAAGATTAGGTGTGCACTCTTGTCAGCCCACAAGAGAAAAACACTTTAAAAGGGCCGAAACACTTTGTTTTTTTTTTTACCCCCCCTCAGTTTCAGAAGGGTTAACGCGTTGGGAGACAGAAGAACAGTCGGAGCTGATAATCTCAATTCCTATAGGTCGCTTTATGAAAAATAACTGCACTTGAGCTAAAAAAAAATAAAAAAATCAAGTTTATCTTCATTTACTGTAGCAGATAGAATCGATGATTATCATTAAAGCGGCGGCTATTAAGTGGTTGCTTGATTGTAATGTGTGTCTACTGAGACCGTTTCCCATTAAAACACTATTGTTTTAATCAGGACTGATTGGAGGAGCATGTGCTGCAGACTCTTCTCGGGAGAGGTTCACCTCTGTCGGGTGGTTGTGATATCATCAGGAAGCAAAGTAGATTTTTCTAGGAGATGGTTGAGTATGCAGCAGGTCCCGAGGTCAGGCTGCTTCTAAATTTCCTACTTGGAGGAACAGTTGGGGAGTTATGCAAATACAGTTTTTATTTGAAGGAGCAATTAGCAGAAAGTTGAGTCTGGAAACAAGCAAACCTAAAAATTCCAGGCAGTTTAGCGCGATGCAAATTCAGATATCGATCTATGTCTCTCAAATCTGATGCGGAGGAGGACCTGAGGGTCAAGTATTGCAAAAAGCAAAGCCAGGAGGTCACGTAGACTGAAAAGCTGCAGGTCAGAAAGTGTTTTAGAGCAAAATATGTCTTTTGTTGCATCAATTAAGCCTGCCAAATTGCTATTAAAGACAGATTTAGGCGGCTGGTAACTCTATTTACTCCTGCAACGCCTCCTCAAGCCAACCAGGTAATTTTGTTCTGCCTGCAAACCAAAGGCCATGACAGTTGTGAACGCTGCCAGCTGCTGCCCGTACACAGAGGGGAAAACAGAAGTTGCAGTGGGTGCAGCTGAGACAACAACAAGCAACAGAGCTGCTGAGAGTCTAAAGTATTGTTTCTGCGTTACTCCGAGGCGCTAAAAGTCTCCGCCATCTGCTTAAGTACGATCGTCAGGAAATGTACTTCCAGTCGAGAAGGAAAAAACATGTTTAAGTTGCGTTCTGCTAATTGCCTTTGTTTAAAACACCTGGTCGCGACGGATAGCTCGGCGGTTGCCAGGGTTTCCGCGATGCTCTCGGTTATGCCGGATACACAAAGATGCGAAGCCGCATTCCCATGGGAGCGCCGCCGCTGTGCGCAGGAGCTGGCTATCCTCCTCCCTGGGAATATTACCAAAACAACAGAGGCCGGGGGGTGTGAGGAATCTGGCAGAGGGTGCACATGAGCCTTTAATCAACTGAGATGATGAGATTATAATGCTTATTTTAGAGGTTCCCCCCTCCAGAATCTTCTAACCGATTTGACATCCAGAGCGGTGATGCTAACATTAAGCGGCGACGTGACGCTCTGCCAGGTTTTCTCGATGCTGCTGCTGCTGCTGCTGTGGCGGCGGCGGCGGCGGCTGCAGGTCCAGCTCTGAGGCCACGGAGACCCAGATACCACGCTGGCTCGTTGCTTTTCAGGACAAATGAAGCACACAGACTCTTACCGCTCCCATTGCTTTCTGTCTCTCTCCCCCCCCTCCCTTTGCTAATCTATCTTTCTTTCTCACTCTGATGCCGAAGTAACTGCTCTCTGTTTCCCACTCCACTCCCTCAGCATTGCTGTTGCTGCTGTTGCTGATAGTTGTGTGACACAGGGTCCAGAGAAGCCAGAGTCCCCCACAAGGAAAGTAGAGGCACTTGACCCCAGTCTGTCCCCTGCTGATCCCTGTCCTCCTGGATCCTCTATTCTGTTGCCTGCATGTAATGGTGGCCTGCAAGTGACATACTTGAGCACACCATTGTGAGCGCTGAAAGCAGCCGGACACACAGCGGACTTGATGTGTGGAATACTGTTTGTTTTGATGGCATTTGACAAATTGAGACACTATTTCTATTTTATGCATGACAAAAAAAAAAGCAACAACCCATAATGCAGCTTGATAAACAACCATGAATGAAAATGAAGCTGGATGAAAACAGTGCCAAGACCAATTAAACCTAATCAAAATTCTTAAGATAAAACATCCAGCTCCACTTAGAGTTGATCAGATTCAGGGAGCTTGGACAAAAACAGAATAATGAGTCGAGATTTAACGTACATATCAAAATTGTTCATCGAAAACTCTGAGCTCACAGAGGTTTTTTTGTTTGCTTCACGTAAGCTCAGTAATCATGTGAACAGACCACATTGTCCAACCTCTCTCTCTCTCTCTTTCTTTCTTTCTTTCTCTCTTGCTCCTCCACCTCTTCTGCCCTCCTTGTGTGTGCATGACTTCTCGTCAAATATGCATGACAAGAGTTGTCGTCGTCAGTGCTGTGACTTGTCGTCGTCCCCCCTCTCTTCCCACCGCTAGTTTCTTGGCATGTATTTGCTCGATGTAGTGAAATGTGATGAAAAAAAAAAAAGCTTTAATTGTCCAGATGAAATTATTTTTTTTGTCTACTTTCTTGTCATCAAACATGTTCAGTGTCTTATGAAGGAACTGTTTTTTTGTTGTTGTTGTTGGGGAAATGTCTATTTATGTGAATGCACACAAGCTGCGATGAGAATGTTTTTTATTTCTAATGTCGAAAAACAACCGCGAGAGAGATTCATAGTTTTATATGAGTGTCTGATGTCAGGGTGAAAGGGGAAGCGTTTAGCCAGACTGTTTAATTCTGCATGTTGATGAGCTGTTAATCAAGCCTGGGCATTTGATAACATGCCTGACTGCACCGCCAGTCACGCCTCTGTTTGCCCTTACAAAGCAGCACATGATGTGACTCAAAATTGGTCAATCCTAATAAATCACTGGCCCTTTAGAAGCTGCACTGGCAACAATAGTCAACTGATTATCGAAATAGATGGGCATTGTCAAAGGCGATGTTCACCGAATAATGTGTTCATCGCTCTGTCTTTTTTTTTTTTTCGCTGCCCGACCGTGATGTATGACCTCCAAAATGCTGCCAAATTGTGGCGCCGTGAAAATGACGGTGGCAAAAAAAAAGAGAATAAATTCAGTGTTCGCTGACGTACAGCTGGTGTTGACACAGTTGTAAATACTTTGTGGTATAAATCAGTTTGATGCCAACCTCCTGGCCGCCGCATTTCCAACAAATATCAGAAAAGGATCACATGCAGAATGTAAAATGGAAGGACCATATCACAACATGTTTTTTTTTTTTCTCCTCTCTCTCTCAAGAATTTGTCCACCTTGTGGGGACTGGAAATGTTATTTTGGAGGACATTTACTGATAGACTAAACAGCTATAAAAAAAAATAGATGCTTTTTTTTTTGTTTTTTGTGAAAGAGGACACTGGAAGAAGTAAATTTGTTCTTGTGTTTTTTCACCATTGCTGTGTGAAGACTTCTTTTTTTCTCTCAAATGTGATAAATGTTCATTTGTTGTCGGACACCTTCTTGCTTTAAGCTGTAACCAAAGTAGGATTTTGTCATTTTTCTCTGTTCTTTCTGAGTCATTCAACATTGATTGTTACTGTACTGGGTGTCAATTCAAATCATTATTGTTTATGCGTGGGGAAAAAAAAAAAAAAAAGATAATAATCATGGTGCTTGGTTTCTCTGTACAGAATGTTATACATGCAGTACAAGTGTCAATAACAATCACCTTTATCTCCATGTATTTTGTACAGCGGTGTGTGTATGCTAGCAACAACGCCCGAGGGGGTCGGAAACTCATCGTTTGTGTACGAAGTTAAATGTTCTTAAAAAAAAAAAAAGCCAAACTTTCGTCCAGCAGCAGAATTAGTTTTTGATAAACTTGTCAAAGAACAACACAAAAAAAAGCCATTTCGTTTCATTCTTCTTTTTTTTCATCATTCTTTCTTCTCTTTTGAGAGAAGAAAAAAAAAGCTGAGCTCCGCAGAGTAATTGTTGTCGGCCTTTTGAAAAGATCGGAGCTAGACAAAGCATGAAAGTAATTGCCTCCTAAAGATCAAATCACATTTATCCCGTCTTGCAATTAAAAGTATCATTAGCATTTAAATTGCCAAATAAGATTGTGATCAACAGAAATCAATGAGAGCACCAAGGATCAGCTCCAAACACTTCACGTTGTTTTCCACGAGCGCCGCCGCCGCCGCGGTCATACGGCGGCTCTTTAATCCAAACACTTCTGGGAATGCGACACTTCACTTTCTCTCACATACAGAAAGGAGTATTTTCCAACTGTCACACTGAGGGACATCTTAACTCTGATTATCTGAGCGAGGAAACGGCCTCGCTCGTGCAGAAATTCCTAATAGGAAAGTCACTTTTTTGGGGGGGAAGAGAGTGCATTGTAAAAGTCATTTTCTTTGCTGTAAATCTTCCCTCGCAGATTACTCTTCTCAGTTTAAGGATTAGTTATGTTTTCTCCTCGCTATCCTCCTTAAATCTCCCCTTAAGCTGCCCTGAGCCTTTTCGTAGCCAACGGAGCGAGGAGGAGCAAGGTCTTCAAGGTGGATGTTTGAAGAAGGGAAACAGTGCAAACTCGAATGTAGTTTATGGTTCCCTGCCCAGTGCTTTCTGCTCCCCACAGGCTTGTGGTGCTTGTCAGCTTTCATTAGAGTCTGCATCTCACAGAGCCAACGCCCCCATGCTGCCTTGCATCACGCTCAGCGCCGAGGCAGCCTGTGTGATCACACAGCTGAGATGCACACACGAGGTGGTCAAGCCGAGGAGAACATCCGCGCAGCTGACTAATGACTGACGGAGCCGACATTAGGCCCGAACCGCAGCATTAGTTAAATTAAAATGCATCGGGGGGAGAATTCGGAAGCGGTGAATATTTTATTCGCCATATGGCAACACGTGCAGCATTATGGCAGGAAAGCATCCTCGATAAATATTTAAAGCCACGCCGCCCGTCCGCCCATACGTTAATTCCCCGTTGTTTGGGTTAATGCTGTCGTGCACGTTACATCATTTCATCAGCACATGAGGTAAAAAGCTTCACCTCAGCTGGTCACTCAGACATGTCGCACTGAGAAAAGCTGCACTTATTAATTAATCAGCAGCGTTCGAAAGAAAGAAGACATAAATAAATAAATTTAGGATCAAAGGCTAATCTGATTTAGTTGAAAGCCAGCTGCGCATACGGGAAAAAAAACAGGAGTTATTTTGTGGGAGCTCACTACTGTATGATTGTCAAGAGAAAAACATTCATCTGTGACTCAATAACTGCAGCTGGCAAGTTTTCTTCTCATAAATTCAGAGCAAAAAAAAACTCTAGATGTAGAAGATTCTCAGTTTGCACGTGTTTCTTTCTGTGGCGAGATTCCATATTACATGCTAATCATGCTAATTCTGCACATATTTAGGAAATACAGTCGTGACTCGATAATCTGACTCTTAACAATCAGAAAACGTTGCTATCCGACAGGTTTTTAGGAAAAACTAATGGAACCCATAAAAACAGCCTTAACATACCGACAGCCTTGGATTCTGACTCCGACATGACATTTTATGTCACAAATAATAACGGCGTATTATCTGACTGAACAATCCCACAGATTGGTTACGTTCAGACTGCAGGACTTGATGCTCAATTCAGATTTTTTTGTGAGTTCGTTCACATTTACAATTAAATGCGACTTGTATGTGATCTGCTGTGTGAACTTCATACGACCCAAAAGTGTCCCGCATGCACAGAAGAGGACACGACGACGTCACATGCAGTGAGCATGCTCAGTGTTTACGGAAGTAAAGACGGATGGTAACAGTGGAGCGTATCTGCCACTCCCCCGCCGCCGCCGCTGGTGGAAACAGAACTGTGACCACTAACTAAACGAGCATCAGCAGCCAAGTACTGCCTATGCATCCGGCCACTTCCACCCCGTCGAAGTGGAATTGGCTGGAACGTGCACCAGCGGACCGGTCAGTTAGGCGTGAAATCCAGCGATGCGTAGTGTTCTAACAATACACTAGTTATTATAACAACTATAAACAATAAATATTAACAACAAATGACCCTTCCAGCATCAAGCCCTCCTTGTATCTCGACCTCCGTCTTGACAATCCAACAGCCTTGCTATCCGACATAAAAGAAGATTTTACATTTAGTGTTGGATTATCGAGTCACGACTGTTTAGCAAAATCTGTCGGTGACATTCTGCCCCTGCTGTCACTGGACACCTGTTGGCCTTGAATGCAACGCGTGCAGGAATTATAAAGGTTGATGCAGCCTGAGGAGTGTAATTCTGGCTATTCTCATCAATAATCCTTCTCACCGAGCTAATTGCTGATCTAATAACGTGGCAGCATCATTGAAAAGAAGTCTGATAGAGTGAGACATGCAGACAGGTTTAACAGAAAACAGTGAATGGGACCGTTTAACCCAAACATCTTCGGATCGATCCGGCAGTTTAAAATTGACCAAACTCAACCCGCTGGCGTTGTTCTCACGCAAAGATTTCTGATGAAATGAGAGATTAAAGGACGCCGCTGTAGCTCACCTGGTTGAGCTGGTGTCCCATGTGCAGGGCTACAGTCCTGATGGGGAGGTCGAATCCTGCTCATGGCCCTTTTCCACATGTCCTCCCCACTTTCCTGTCTCTCTGTCTCGCTATTTTATCCAATAAAGGCCAAAAAATAACTTAAAAAGAGAGATTAATATCAACATTTAGCTTCTCCCCTCCGAATAAAGCGGTTTAGGTAATTCTACCAAAACGCTCGGGTTGGGTTTGTTTTGTGGCACATCACGTCACCGTCATAAGTCGTAGAAATGACGCCCAACACTCGCTAGAATAAAGTGGAATCATCCTTTAGAAGATGCTTTATTTGGATTATAGCCCCACAGTTCTGCTCTCACAGGAAATAATGGAAACAAGTGGTGCATAGAGTTGTTTTACTTCATAAACATCTGCAAAAACAAAACATAAAGTAATAAATTATCCACAAAAAAAAGCTTTAAGCTCTCCTTTTTCAAAGTTTCAGAGTCAGGAGTTTCCAACGTCGCTGTTTGTTTGATGTTGCCGTGCGTCGTTGTTTTATTACTTTGTACCTTCCGAGATTAAAAAAAAAAAGTAAATTAAAATTCTGCATACTGAGAACAACAGTATGTTTTAGGACGCAGCTTCAGCGACTGTGCACAGACGTACTGTATGTTTGCATCCACGTGAACAACACACACAGCACTTCATCAAACACTGACGCTACTTTTTTTGCTCTGTTTTCCCGCTAATGTGTAAACAGCAGTGACAGTCAACGCGCTGACCGTCTCCCGAGGCCGACGCTCGGCCGTAACGTGATTACAGACGTCGCTGAATTCAATCAGGGGAGGGGAGAGCTGTAGCCATGGGGTGGTAGTGGTGAGACAAGGGAATTTTCTTCATGTTTGGTTAGATTTAATAAACCCTCTCTGCATACGGGGCCCCGACACTTATTTGAACAGGCAATGAAATGCAATCATCGGAGGTTCTGGGGGGTCAAATGTAAGTTAAGAGAAGCGCAGCCGGGGATGTGAATGCAGATTGCAGCGTCGTAAACATTTCAATCCAATAAATCAGCCACGAGTCACGACGTCGTCTCGCAAATATCGCGTCAAATGTTGGGTGACGCCACATTTCCTTTTTCGTACAATTAGGTCAATGATGTTCATTAGTTCCAACAAACTGGAGAAAAGTCATAATTTGGTGTCTCGGTGTGAGTGTGCACGGGGCAGAGAGAGGCTGCAAATTACATTTTGTGTCATACAGCAAATTATCTTGTCAGCTGTCACTGCTTTTTTTTTTTTTAAGTTCTCACCTGTATCAGAATCCAGTCAATCATAAGCAATGGATTACAATACTTTATAATGAGCGCGCCGCTGTACCTGCCGAATTTTTTTTTCCACGAGGCTCGTAATTATCTGTCTGAGAGAAAATGGATGTTTCTCATCTGGAAGAGGTTATTGTAGAAGAGACGCTGTGCTGCACGCTGCCGCCTTTCTGTACGTGTTTTTTTTTTTTTTTTTTTGCTGCTTTGCCCGCCTGCTCGTGTGCTGCAGGCGGAGGAGTGGTGCCACATGAATCTGGCAGCGGCACGGCAGCCCTGTCTGGAGACAAGGTGATACGGCCCGGAAATAATGAGCGTGAAAGAAAGAGTTAAGAGGTGCACTCATGCACAAATTTTCTGCACATTAAAACGCCGGCATGGCCTTGCGGAAAAGGTCATGTTATTCAATAAGGACGTGAACCAGTGCGAATGGGAGGCGGGAGGAGCTGGAGATAATGCGTGTAGGTACACAGCTCAGTGTCTGTGCTCCACTTCATTATCTTTGATCACTCCTGATATCATGTCAGAAAACAACAGATGACATCTGACTGCCGGCGTGTTTGAGCGAAGGGCTTTGCTTTGCAACGACTCCGTAGCAACAACCCTCCTGCTTCCTTGTCTCTAATAATTATCCAGATGCACTTCAAACTATTTCAACGTCAGGCTTCCAGTTACTGCTGTCTGTCCCGTTCGCTGTTTAATTCTCCTTTTTATTATCATATTAATGACTGTGTGGCCTGGTTGATTTGAACGAGATGGCTGCTCGCTGTAATGGCGGCGCGACAATGAGCAGAGGAGGCCGTCGAGGTTGTCGAGGCTTTGTTCTTCCCCAGGTGTGCCTGACAGAGGGGCGGGACTAGGGGGATGTTAGTACCGGGGATCTGGAGAATAAAAAAAAAAAAAAAGGTGGAGAGCAGAAGCTGCCCGCTGAGCTCTCGGTGTCACAGCGCAGGACGACATGTCAAACAAACAGTCGCCGCACAGTAGGCAGGGTGTTTGTCCACGTGGCACTCTGGATGAGGCTCCATCCACCCTGAGGACTTGACTCACACATGCCCTTCTCCCTGCCCTCCTATACCCCCTCCATTCCCATCTCCTCACCTCAGTGTCCAATTACAGCCCACTCTCATTAGCACAGTGTCTCTCCAGCGAGAGCCTTTGAAAGGGCAGGGATGGCTGCCGCTGCAACAAAGCCACCAACACGAGATCTATCAAAATCCGAGGAAAGAGTGGAAAAAGGCAAGTGCAGGCAGGACTTCTCATTATAGAGTGCTGTAGAAGGTGAGGGACGTAAAGAGTGGCAATCCCTGGCTGTGCTGAGTGTCATGTTATCTTTTCACTCTCTTAACAGGACTGACCTCCCACCCGCCCACAAGCCGGCCCCTCCCCCACCCAAAAAGAAGAACAGCGACATGAAGGGACACTTGACATCTGATGACATCCAGGTGAGAGCCTCCTCCTCCTCCTCCTCCTCCTCCTCCTCATCCCCGTCTCTACTTATTATCTCCTCCTGCGGTGGAAATTCTGAGATTTCCGTCACATTACTGAGTGAAATTAATTCAAAAGTGTGCAAAGTCAAAAGCGGTTTTGTTTTTTTTACTCCCACAGCAGACGGACTTTAAGGTTTAAACTGTGTCTATTATTATTATTATTATGCAGTAAAATGTCAGTTTAGTGGTGTTTTAAAACCATACATGTACTTAATATCTCACTTTACAACTTCACAACAATCCAGTCACAGTACAATTAAGAGAGAGCCTGAATGTGTCATTATAGAATCGCCTCATTTTCCTCTTTTCTGACATAAACGTCCACCTCGTGCTGCAAATCTGAGAAAAAGAAAGAACCTTGCTGCTTGTGCTGAATAATGTGCAGCTCCTGTCATTATATTCAACACATGTATGGTGTTAATTCATTCAGCTCCGTAGATGAGCGGCGACGATTATAAAGTGGCATTCGAGTAAAGTTCAGTTTATCAAACCCAAAGACTCGGTTGCGGTTCAAACCTCGGTCAGATGCCGGCGCCTCCCTGTGTGTGTGTGGAGCTTCCCATGTTCTCTCAGTACTTGCTTGAGTTTCCTTCGGGAGTCTTAAGTCTTCAAAGCACTGCCAGGTTAATTCTCCAAAGTGCCCTTGACCACGGCACCGGATGAAAGCAGGAGCAGGTCCCTGGATCGCTGCTGCTCTAAATACCGGCGATGGCTGGACAGTGGATCTCCCAGACGGGGGATGACTTCAACTTGAAGATGTGTTTTCATCATTTAAAGCAGTCGTTTTATTATCATACAAAGACTAACTATTAGCATTAAGTTGCACCCCACTTGCGCCCCGAATGCAAGAACTGCTGCTCAGTCTTTAGAAACATGCAAACCACATGTTAAACCTGGAGGGGTTCCTTCCTGTCTCCTACAACTGCACTTTACTCTCAGTTACATTTTGAGGGAAATGTGGCCCAATTTTTTTGCATTAAGCATCAAATACGGTTCTAATTAATTCACCTCTTTCTCCTTATCTGTTGCTCCTTTTCAGCCAACCAATCATATATTAGATGGACTAGTCACCCTGGTAACTGAGAAGACGGAGGAGAAGCTTTGATAATATTTTATCCAAGCAGCTTTGGGTGCCAAAAACCCAACCAAGCTTCTAACATTGTGAGAAAGTCCATTTTAACCAAACGCGTGGTCTTTTTTGTAAACCTTCCCGAGTGGGTTTACATGAAAATGAAATTTAAGTCTCCTGCATGGAGGTCCTGCATCAGGCCTATACCACCACCCTGGGTGCAGACTTTGTGGCTCTTTGAAAGCAGAAACCTTCCCTTACTATGTCACACTGTTACCCGGAGAAAATACGTTTCTTTCAGAAATGTACTTGAGAATGCAGTTTAGTTGTATAGGAATGTAATTTTTGGGAGACAGGGTTGCCTGGTGGGTTCAAAGAAGTAGGCCACACTCTCAGCATGTCCCTAAATCCATAATACATCTAATTCTATGCCGGTTTTCAGTGTGTGGCGTGTTGCCGCTGGAAAAGTGACAGAATTGAGCGTAGTCAAAGCAGACTGCATATATATATGGTGGATTTTTTTTTTATACGTGCTGTCAGCTGGAAAAAAGGTGAAAACTAATTCTGGATGGTGAAGCCGTGCCAGTGACACCTCTGCAGACGACAACATATGTTGATTCCCGCGCTGGCGACGAATACACACGAGCAGCGTGCACTGTACTGAATCGATATCTGGTCTTGGTGTGCTCGGCTACAGTTATGAAATTGCGACTAAACCACGAATTGCCTTCGGTCATGAAAATATTTCCGAGCTGCTCACTCGGAATTTGGAACCTCACTTTCCGCGGTCACAGCGATTCTGCATAGCTCCTTGTCGGTGATTGGCTCCTGCTCCGTGTGACCGACGGTACTAATCAGCCGGTGGTCACACAGAACAGAATTCTTTTGTCAAGCTCGCCTGAGAACAAAATCTTTATATTGTATTAGGCTGTTTAAATGGCAGCAAACCTAAAAGCAACTCTGGGTTATTGCAGCGTTGCATCAACCTTTCCAGTGGCACAAAGTCCACTTTAGCAGCTCTCATAAGAACAACTAGTGTTTACACAGGAGCTGCTGCAGACAGAGAGGTCGCACTCGCTTTGCTGAGACCTTCAGTTTTGTCAAGGACTGCAGAGTATCTCCCCAAATTGAGGAGATAAAGTAAGGGGGAGAAAAGGAATTATTAGAATCTGAATAATTGAAGATTTCACCTAACTGTCAAGTTGGCCACCGCGTCCCAGGACTGCTGAGATTTTTAAATCCAACTTTATGATACTCTTCATCGGGCCCAAGGTCAAACTGCTGGACATCTGGGCAGAGGAAGTAATGGAGAGAAGGGAAAGTAATGTGCTCTCCTCCTCTGCACAACTGCTGCAGAGTCCAGCAAAGGCGTCTAAATGCCCGACTGGTGATTAGTAGAAAAGATGAGGCTGTAATAGACACATTACAGGATTTAATGCGCTGGCTTTTATGGCTGCCGTCGCTTTAAAAACCAAAGCTACGCACACTCAGCAAAGTCGCATCTGGGAAAATAAAAGTAATGCAAATATATAAATAAACATATACTACAGCAGCAGGTTTAGGGCGTCATGGGTGGAGCCTGGATGAATAATCAATGATCTCTGAGGCATAAAAACAACAACTGTTAAGCTAGCGGGCACGTGCAGCACAAAATGTATGTAAAAACCGATTATACTAATGGTGTTCATCCCACACTGCAGCACCTTCAACCGTCAGCTGTTTCTACGACAGAGCAGGTCCCAAATGATCCAAGATAAGAATAAGTTGCTGTAATGTTAAATCACAAACCCAGTATCATTAGCTGATCCTTCCTCCTGGACGAGTTCCTGCCCCGAAGCCCGTCCATCACCACACGATCAGCATATCCAACGTAATGCACGGTTGTAATTTTATTTTATTTTATCGACTGCTGCAGATTTGACTTCAAAAGACTTTCTTACTTTTTTTCCCCTGGAGAGTAGCGCCCTATTATTGAAACTGGAAGTGGAGATGGTCGGAGCTTTATTTCAGGCTGAAGAGTCTGGCAGCATCACGGTTTCATCATTGTCCAGTGCACAGAGCGAAACTGGCAACGCTGCCGAAGTGTCAACATCTGCACTGGCTGCTTCGCAAACACTCGGCGTAGAGCTGCCGCGAGGTGAAGTCTGAGAGCCAAGCATCCATCCAGGAGGCTACGTTGTCTTGAAGACATGTTTCCTTCCACCTAATTGCGGCCAGTGAAGTCCGGTGCCTCGGCTTCGATCGCTTAGCCGTTAAAGTCTTCGCCTTTTGATGTGATATGAGTGAAGCAGTTCCTCCCCCCCTCCTCCCGCCATGTTGTCAGGCACTGAGAGGCTATTTCTGAGCATCAATTTGGCAGCCTTTTGATCCCTTAAACTCAGGTGTGGAGGGGAAACTGCATTGTTCACCAACTATTACACAAATCTCATGTTTTTTCATTGATTGTTCTGGACGGCTTTGATTTCTTTCGTTCACTTTTTGTTTCTTTTGGCTCTGGCTAATGCTTAATGAAGGCTTTTTTTTGGAGGAGGGGGGGAACCTTCATTTGTCATTACAATATTAATTAATTGCTTCGTGCCGTGACAGGTCTGCGGAGCCTGTTGCGAGTAGCCCACCTTAAAAACCCTTAAAAGGTGTTTCGGCTGACAGAAATGTCAAACTTTACTTTGTGATTATGACGAAGTTTGACAGATCAATTAGAAGTGCGCCGCGGAGAAAGTCTGAGACCGACAACCTATTGAAAGTGAAAACTATAGAGGAGCACGGTGCCCGCTCTGCTAATACGCTGCTTCCATTATGCCTCGAAAAAAACTAAAAAAAAAAAACTGGTGAAACAGCTGAACCTTGAATTTTAATGTGAGGAACTTGGATATATGGCTCAGACCCCCAACTAATCTGCTCATATGTGAAGTAAAAGTGGTTGCCACCTCGTTTCTTTTTCATATATATATGCAAGAACATTTGTAATTATCTTATAAAAATGTGGTGATGTTTAAAAGGCTCACATCAAATATGGATTTTATTGACATTTATATGAAGCACATTGATGAATGAAAACTATTCATGGCATCATTGCTGAGTCCTCACCTGCACCTGGTCTCATTGTCATTCTGATTCTAATTCTCATTCACAATCTCAATCTTATTCTCATTCTAATTCTAATCATAATTCTAATTGTTATACTCATTCTAATTCTTATGCTTATTCTAATTTTTATTCTCATTCTTATGCATGTTTTTTTTTCTAATTCTCATTTTCTTTCTAATTCTTATTCTCATTCTAATTCTCAATTTTAGTTTTATTCTAATTCTCATTCTAATCATAAGTCTAATTCTCACTCTAATTCTCATTCTTATTGTTATTCTCATTCCAATTCTAATCACAACTCTGCTGTTGTCATCCTAATTCTAATGCTTATTCTTATTCAGTCTTATTCTCATGCTTATTCTAATTCTCATTCTCAAACTTATTCTCATTCTAATTCTAATCATAACTCTGATTGTTATTGTCATTCTAATTCTTCTGCTTATTCACAGTCTTATTCTCAATCCTAGTTGTATTCTCATTTTTATTCTCATTCTCATGCTAATTCTAATTCTCAATCTTGTTCTCATTCCAATTCTAATCATAACTCTGTTATTGGCATTCTAATTATTCTGCTTATTCACAGTGTTATTCTCAATCCTAGTTGTATTCTCATTTTATTCTCATTCTCATGCTAGTTATCAATCTTATTCTGAACTTTATTCTCATGCGTACTTGTATTCTCATTCTAATTCTCATGCTTTTGCCAATTCTCAGTTTTATTCTCATTCTACTTTTAATTCCTACTCTCATTCTCATTCTACTCTCCCTGAACCCAGATGACCCCCAAATTTCCAGCTGAATTTTCCTTAAACAGTCTTATATCTTCACTAACAGATTTCGCTGTTTTACACACATTTATACAAAACACAACGTCTACTGCCTCCGTCATGAAATTCAGGTTACCCTGATTGAAGCAATTAAATAATCTGCCAGTTTTATGCTGCTTTGTATTTATATCGACATCTTTCTGCATCGTCTTCAACCCTTTTAATATCTTATAAAGATGAGATAAGGCAACATTGATTTGAATTTACAGAGTCCAGGCCTCCTGTTTTTTGTAATATTCAACACTTTGAAAAAAAGTTCTTCCTAGAATATTAGCCCGTAACCACATTGCTACGTCTTTTCGCACAAAGAAAATAAAACCTGACAGTTTATTTCAAATGCGTTTTTGAGGTTTTAACATTCCTGCAGCTCTCTACAGTCCAGTTTTTTATTTTTTTTAATCCTCAAACACAGAATAGATATCCGTCTGCAATGTGATCATCACAAGTGAAAGTTGTAGCAAATGCAATTTCAAAGCATCTCTGCTGTGGCACAAGTCCAAATTTAAACACTTCAGTCAGCAGTATCAAACCGTATAAAAGAAACCTGCAGAGGAAAAACAGAAAGAAAAAAAAAGAAAGAGGGATTTTAATTCAAGACAGGCGGCCTTGTTTGTAAAGTGGTTGGAAATAGTTCATATTTTCAAGTGTTGTTGTTATGGCGCGATAAGGATGTGAGATTTGCTCCATTCATGTGCTGATAAACTGCTTTTGTGAAGCAGTAATTAATCTAAACCGTCTGTTTTCTGATTTCACGTCACCTCAGCGTGCGATGCGATTCGGCGGCGGCGACGAGGTGCGGCTGGCCCCTGCAGCTTTACAGTTGCTTTAACACTTGAGCCGTTTCAGGAGTTTGCATCATGCGCCCGTGTGATATGGAAGTGATTAATTTGACAAAACAACTTTGATGCACATATAGAGTTCAGCAGAGCAGCTGAAGTTCAGTCTGCTGTCGAGCCGCATCCTCTGCCAGATTTGAGATTAATGCCGCCGGTTTCTGCTCATTACCACGGAAAAACAAATGTGAGCAAATGAAGTCAGAAGCTGTCAACATAATGTTCTGCCGCTGACATGTTGTTGCTTTGAACTAATGTGTGTGCAACAAAAGGTAGCGGCTCTCCACCGTAGACTAATTGCAAAGCGAACCACGGCGAGGACTCCGGTCTAACCTGCCTTATTTTTTGTTGTTGTTGTTTCGGAGCTTGTTATGAATGTTGCTGAGCTCTCGGTGTTTCCTGTAGGTGGTTCATCTCGACAAGGAGGAGGAAATGCAGAAGCTTCCTCTCCAGCCTCCTTATTACGACATGGCGCCCTCCGAGTCGACCCCCTTCACCGATAAGCCGGTGAGTACTGAAGCAGGTTCTCTGCGAAGCGGCGAAACTTTTTCTGCTCGGAGAATCGATTCTATAAAGACACTGAGGTTCTGTCGTGGTTTTTTTTTTTTTGGGGTGTTAAAAGTAGAAGGTGACCAGTAAATCCACTGACTAAGCCCCTTATCTCATCATCTACATCAGCTCCTCTCATCTTGTATGTAAACCCGGGCCGGCCCCTCTCCGCCTCGGTGGAGTATTCTGACCCCAGCACTCCCCCGCTCGCTCTGCCCTCCGCCTCACCTCCCCCTCCACTCCCTCTAATCCACCGTAATTACTCGCGGGTTCGCCTGGCAACCGTGTGCGGATAGATTGCAGTGTGATGCTCTACAGTACATCATCGCCCCCTGAGTGTTAACTGTTGGCTATGAAGTGTTTGCCTTTGCTGTGTCAGATGCCTCTTCTGACTGTGGTGAACCTCCCTCAGTGGCACAGATGCTCGAGAGTGTCGGAGGGGAGAGAGGGGGAGGCGGCGGTGGTGGTGGGGGAGTTTATTTGCTTTGGCTGGAGTTTCTGTCTTTGAGCGAAAGAATAAAACTCGGCGGAACTTTTTACACAATGTGTGCGGGAAAACAAAACCCTTTCTGCTGTGTCTCTGGTAAAAGCTAACGGGACACTGTTTCCTCTAAATTAGTGTTGCTAATTTTACCTGCGGCACTAATGAAGGTGAGACACGTCGCCGGTAGCAAATAAACATCAGCCGTCGGTGCGGACGGGGAAGTGCTCATGTGCAGAACCTGATGGTGTCGGGCACGTGGGTGAAAAATCTCATCATCAACTCAACTTGTATTACAGTTCAATGCTAATTGAACTTAATACCTGTTGTTTACAAATCCAAACACTATTTCTGAAGTTAGAATCATTCGTTAAAGTCTTAAAGGATAAGTCTGGTTGTTTTCTGTAGTTTTTTCGTACCACAGATGCGGTAAATCTTCCTCCTGTGTGTCCCTTGTTGCTAATTTAACCCCTAAAAATGAATCTCTGCATCTTAAAGTTGCATATTTCTATAAAAACAACCCCTCTCTACCTTAAAACATCTACGGAGTCCCTGCCTCTGTCTGTCTTCAGCAATACAAGCCACAATCTAAAGACTGACAGCTCTTCTGTTTGTTATAGATGTGGTCTGAATTCATGTTTTTGTCGTTTCCACACCACAGTTTCTTTGTGGAAAACACTTGGCCGTGTTATTATGCTGATGATGTATCTTCCTCGCTCTTAAAAAACACCATATGGACATGTTACCGAGGTCAAAACCTCTGCTGGGATGAAACTAAAGGCCGCGAAGAATAAAGAAACGAGTGAAACCACATGACTGAGCGTCGCCACAGCGCTGAGTAGCATGTTCCCTTATTACCATAAACATGAGCTGTTTGCATTGTTTATCTTAAATCCAGCTTTTGAAGACACTCTGCAGAGCTCCAGATGTGTATGAATACACTCCTGGTGTGTCTGAAGATATATATTCTTAAAGACAGAAACACCTTTTTTCATTATAAAGTTTCACCACCTGGTTGGAAAATGACATTCACACCTCCTCCCTCGCTGAAACATCCAGAATCAATGAATATGCAATTGTGTCCCAGTTTATTATTTAAATCCAATGTATGTGCATGGTGGAGGTTTCCACATCGCACTTGTTTAAACCAGGATTACGTTCTAAACTAGTTCCGACTTGCAGGTACAAAACTTTCAGCGAACAAGTCTAAAAAAACAACATTCCAGCGTGAAAACTCTGAATATACATCATCCCGTCAGGTCAAACTAATCACAATAGATTTTTGAGTGAAGGGGGACTTTTAAATCTGCGCCGTTGTTGCCTGGATGTGCTGAGAGACGCCGGCAAGGTCAGGAACTCGGGAAAGGTCACGACAAGAAAATTACAGAAAAGCCAGCCTTATCCTTTAATCCCGTCAAACTTTTTCTTTTTCTCAACTTCAGCAAAGTAAATTTTGCATTAGAACAAGTGATCCGAATAGATACTTTAATTTATTTTAAAGCCTGTGGCGGCGGCGGCGGCGGCGCAGGTTTTTTTGATTCTGTCTTTGGTGTATAAGAACAGAACTGTATATTTCATGTTTCTCTCCAAAAAGGTGTCTTTCGAATAACTTTACAATAATTGTGTTTAACGAAACGGACGGAAAGCTGATGTTGTGTTTTATGTTTGCTGATGACTGTTTTGAGCTTGTTAAAGCCGCGCCGCGGTGTTTCAAATGACTCATATTTCTCATCGAACTTTTGCAGGTGTAACTCAATTACCGTCATTCTTTTCCCCGGGCGAATTGATTCAGATATTCTGTGGTAGTTTATTCAAGGATATTAAACTATCATCTTTAATTCTATGCTCAATGGGACCGGATCTTTAATTTTGATAATCCTTGGACAACCGAGGATAGATTTTTTTCCTTAGATTCATTTCTTATCTCTCATAACATTCCACTTAAATTGAAGTTTAGGGGCTGCTCTTAAGATGAATAGAGTATCACTGAGGTTTTCAAAACACTATTTGTGGGAGACATGCATTGACTGCTGAGCGTCGAGTGTTACTAATGATGATTCTCTAGGGGCAAAACACTATCTGCCAATTTTGAATGCGATGTGGCTGTAATTTTCCCCCTGATTGCACTCCGGTCATGACAAATATTCCAGATATTTAAATATCCACTGAGTGCGAGCGGTGGGGGGAAACGCGCGACGGCGGAGAGAGATTGCAAAGCAGATTTGAATTATTAACAGGAAATTCTGCAAAAAAGCTTCAATCATTTCTATGTAATCCTTTCTCAGATGGAAATAAGGTACACCGATGCAACGGCGGAGGGACAACAGGTGTCATCCCGTTGCATTTCTCATCCGCAAAACCCTCCGCCAATCCCGGCATGTGGGATGGCTCGGCTTTGTTACCACGTCATCAATGTTTTCTGTTCCATTAATGTCATTAAAGCAGTCTCTTGTCTCTTGTCTTTCTCGTATAATCTTTACAAATCAGCAAAAATGGACTCTGGAGTTTTTACACTTTGAAACCTAATCGGCAAAAATAGAAGATGTGTCCATTATCTTTCGATTCCTGCCACTGGTAATTCTAGGTTGTTGGTAATACAAACATCGGTTCAGTCCCATTTCCATTTATATTCCTCTGTGCCGGGATAACCAATTTGTTTTGCTTTTCGTAAAAAAAAAAAAATTGCATGTTATTCAGTGTCCTGTCTCTGGTCGAAACAAAAGAAATTCCAAACAGCATTACTGTTCTGAAGCTAAAAATGAAGTTTTAATGCCGTTGATGAGAAAACGTGACACGGAAATCAAAACCTCATTTGTTTTTCATGTTGTGTTGTTGTGTTTCTTGTCGGCTTTTTTTTTCACGCTGCTCTCCGGCATCAAATACATCCAAATGTATTTTCACACGGTTGCTGTGTGAACTTGTCTTGCGTCTGAATTCATAACATCTCAAATTATTCTCCTCTCAGCCATTCGGAGCCTCCTTTCTGAAGACGTCAATCTGTGTTTTTTTTCTTTTTTGGAATTGGATAAACAGCGCTGAAAGCTTTCATTGTCATTTATTGATTATCCCATTAAGGACATTTACTCAATCATCCACTTGGCCAATTGCTCATCGAGTCAATCAGCCCGTCAATCATTTGGACTTGTTTTTGTGCTCCGTGGTCAGACGCTGGTTGAATGAAGGTCTTTGTCTGTGTTTACATGCACACTGATATTCCAGTATTGAGGAAACCACACCGACATCATCTCTATTAACGTGCTTCTGGGCCGCTCGGTGACTCTGCGGCTGCATACGTCCTTGCAGCTTTAAAAGATCGCTTGGACGTGCATTCGCCACAATCCATGTGTCGAGTGTTTGTTTCTGTTTAAATCCAGTTTTCGTGCCGAATGTTGCATCACTTCTGAGAAATGCACACAAACATCTGTGACCGAAATCTTCTTTTCCTTCGGTTGCACAAGCAAACACTCGAATTAAAGCTATTCCATGAATCCAAACAATACACTAATGTCATTACGTGCATAGTAAACACAGGCCGACTCCTTCTCCATCTCCAGCCTTTTATTTATTGCTCAATATCGATTTCTGTCTGTTATGAATTTCTTTGTCCGTCTTGTTGTTTTTTTGTTTTGTTTTGTTCGCTTGTCACATTCAGTCTTTGTATGTCCCTCGCATACACGTGTTTCTGTTCTTCTTCTTCGTTCCTCTGCTGCTCACAAGCTGTCCCCGTGACCGTCCGTCCGACCTCCAGCCAACAGTTCTCATCATCTGTCTCTCTCTCTCTCTCTCGGTCGTTATCGACCGTCTCACTCACACTCATTATTTTCTTTTTTTTGGCTGCCTCACTCCTCACACACCTTTCGCCTCTCTTGTCTCCAGAACTCTGGCCACAAGGACTGCGATGTCCAGTATGCGGAGCTGGATACTGCAGCTTTGGCCTCCTCTCCCAGCCCACGAAGCTCTGCTCACACTGGCCCTGGGGACCTTGTCGAGTATGCAACCATCCAGCCTAGCTCACACTAGCGCATGCCATTATAGGCCTTTCCCCTCAGACTTTGGCCTCAAGGTACACAGACTGATGCACTCCATCCCCCCTTTCATTCATACCTCTTTCACACGCACTGACCTCCCTTTATATTCTCCACATGGCTCCCTCCCTTGTCCACCTTCCTCTTTGGCCTCGGCCAGTCTTTTGATTTCCCACCCCCCTTTGCTGCTCTGCAGAAAGTTGGATTGAAGCTGAGATATTTTCATTGTTTAACGACAAAAAAGAAGAAAAAAAATCGAGCAGAGATGTGCGGTTTCTTCGGCACAACAGAGACACATTGAAATGTAAAATCTAAAAGAGCGCATTATTGCGAGAGAGATCATAAGATCAGCCGTACGAGTGCTCTGTTATTTTCAGAAAATCCCATGTAAAAATGTGAGCCACTTGCAAAACAGTTTTAAGCATCTTTTCTTCTGCTCTCCTCTAGTCTGC